TGCGTTACACACAGAAACACACAAACACGGTCATCAATATGAAAGAAGGTAAAGGAAGGAAACCTCACAGCAAAAGATCACAGGAAGTTCAAAACATATATTAGAAAATATCTTTGGCAAATGGCAGGGCAAAGTTACTACTTAGCAATAGTCACATTGAACGTTAATGGCCTGAAGTGTCCAGTTAAAAGACACCGATTGGCTGACTGGGTAAAGGAACAAAACCCATCTATTTGCTGCTTACAAGAAACACATCTTTCCAGCAAAGATGCATACAGACTGAAAGTGAAAGGCTGGAAAAAGATATACCGTGCCAACAGAAATGAAAAAAGAGTGGATGTAGCCATCTTAATATCAGAGAACGTAAACTTTACCACAAAAACTGTTAAGAGAGACAAAGAGGGGCACTATATAATGATCAAGGCATCAATTCAACAGGAAGATACAATGATTATCAACATATATGCACCTAATTACTGGGCACAGGTTTATTTAAAAGATTTCTTAAGGGACTTAAAGGGAGATTTAGACCCCATTACAATAGTACTGGGGGACTTCAATACTCCACTCTCAGAAATAGACAGATCAACAGGACAGAAGATCAACAAGGAGACAGTAGGTTTAAATGACACTACAGCCCAAATGGATCTAACAGATATCTACAGAACTTTTCATCCTACACAGAAAGCATTTACATTATCCTCAGCAGTACATGGAACCTTCTCTAGGACTGACCACATACTAGGCCATAAAGCAAGTCTCAGCAAATTTAAAAGAATTAGAATCATACCATGCAGCTTCTCAGACCACAGCAGAATGAAGTTTGGAAATTAGCAACTCAGGAATCCCTAGAGCGTATGCAAACACAGGGAGATTGAACAACATGCTCCTGAATGAACAATGGGTCATAGAAGAAATTAAAAGAGAAATCAAAAATTTTCTGGAAGTAAATGAGGATAACAGCACAACATACCAAAACTTATGGGATGCAGCAAAAGCAGGGTTAAGAGGAAAGTTTATATCAATAGGTGCCTACATCAAGAAATTGGAAAGGCACCAAATAGATGAGCATTCAATGCATCTCATGGATCTAGAAAATCTGCAGCAAACCAGACCCAAATCTAGTAGGAGAAGAGAAATAATTAAATTCAGAGAAGAAATTAACAGTATTGAATCCAAAAAAATTACAAAAAATCAGCCAAACGAGGAGCTGGTTTTTTGAAAAAATAAACAAAATTGACACCCGATTGCCCCAACTAACTAAAAAAAAGAAGAGAAAAGACCCAAATCAATGAAATCAGAGATGAAAAAGGAAATGTAACAACAGACACCACAGAAATAAAAAGAATCATCAGAAATTACTACAACTACCTGTATGCCAGCAACAGGGAAACCTATCAGAAATGGATTGATTCCTGGACTCATGCAACCTACCTAAATTGAACCAGGAAGACATCAAAAACCTAAACAGACCCATAACTGAGACAGAAATTGAAACAGTAATACAGGCCCTCCCAACAAGGAAAAGCCTAGGACCAGATGGATTCACTGCTGAATTCTACCAGACATTTAAAGAAGAACTGACTCTAATTCTTCTCAAACTATTCAGAACAATCAAAAAAGAGGGAGTCCTCCCAAATTCTTTCTATGAAGCCAACATCACCTTAATTCCTAAGCTGGGAAAAGATGCAGCATTGAAAGAGAATTACAAACCAATATCCCTGATGAACATAGATGCAAAAATCCTCAATAAAATTCTGGTCAATAGAATGCAACAACACATCACAAAGATCATCCACCCATACCATGTGGGATTTATCCCTGGCATGCAGGGATGGTTCAATGTGCGCAAGACAATCAATGTGATACACCACATTAACAGACTACAGAAGAAAAACAATGTGATTATTTCAATAGATGCCAAGAAGGCATATGATAAAATACAACACCCTTTCATGATGAAAACTCTAAACAAACTGGGTATGGAAGGAACATTGCTCAATACAATCAAAGCAATTTATGAAAAACCCACGGCCAACATCCTATTGAATGGGGAAAAGTTGGAAGCATTTTCACTGAGATCTGGTACCAGACAGGGATGTCCACTCTCACCACTGCTATTCAATATAGTTCTGGAGGTTCTAGCCAGAGCTATTAGGCAAGAAAAAGAAATTAAAGGGATACAAATTGGGAAGGGAGAACTCAAACTATCCCTCTTTGCAGATGATATGATTCTTTATTTAGGGGACCCAAAGAACTCTACCAAGAGACTATTGGAACTCATATAAGACTTTGGCAGAGTAGCAGGATATAAAATCAATGCACAAAAATCAACAGTCTATATATACACAGGCAATGCCATGGCTGAGAAAGAACTTCTAAGATCAATCCCATTCACAATACCTACAAAAACAATCAAATACCTTGGAATAAACTTAACCAAGGATGTTAAGGATCTCTACGATGAAAATTACAAAACCTTAAAGAAAGAAATAGAAGAGGATACCAAAAAATGGAAAAATCTTCCATGCTCATGGATTAGAAGAATCAACATCATCAAAATGTCCATTCTCCCAAAAGCAATTTATACATTCAATGAAATACCAATCAAGATACCAAAGACATTCTTCTCAGATCTGGAAAAAATGATGCTGAAATGCATATGGAGACACAGGAGACCTCGAATAGCTAAAGCAATCTTGTACAACAAAAACAAACTGGAGGCATCACAATACCAGATGTCAGGACATACCACAGGGCAGTTGTTATCAAAAGAGCATGGTACTGATACAGAAACAGATGGATAGACCAATGGAACAGAATAGAAACACCAGAAATCAATCCACATCCACAGCCAACTTATATTTGATCAAGGATCCAAAACCAATCCCTGGAGTAAGGACAGTCTATTCAATAAATGGTGCTGTGAAAATTGGATTTCCACAGGTAGAAGCATGAAGCAAGACGCCTACCTTTCACCTTACACAAAAATCCACTCAACATGGATTAAAGACTTAAATCTATGACCTGACACCATCAAATTATTAGAAAGCATTGGAGAAACCCTGCAAGATATAGGTACTGGCAAAGACTTCTTGGAAAATACCCCAGAAGCACAGGTAGTCAAAGCCAAAATTAACATTTGGGATTGCATCAAATTGAGAAGTTTTTGTATTGCAAAAGAAATAGTCAGGAGAGTGAACAGGCAACTGACAGAATGGGAAACATATTTGCAAACTATGCAACACATAAAGGGTTGATAACCAGAATCAACAATGAGATCAAGAAACGCCACAACATCAAAACAAACAACCCACTTAAGAGATGGGCCCAGGACCTCAATAGACATTTTTCAAAGAGAAATCCAAATGGCCAACAGGCACATGAAAAAATGTTCAAGATCACTAGCAATCAGGGAAATGCAAATCAAAACCACAATGAGGTTTCATCTTACCCCGGTTAGCATGGTTCACATTCAGAAATCTACCAACAGAAGATTCTGGAGAGGATGTGAGTAAAAAGGGACACTAACCCACTGTTGGTGGCAATGCAAACTGGTGAAGCCACTATGGAAGTCAGTCTGGAGATTCCTCAGAAACCTGAAGATAACCCTACTGTTCAACCCAGCCATCCCACTCCTTGGAATTTACCCAAAGGAAATGAGATTGGCAAACAAACAAGCTGTCTGCACATTAATGTTTATTGCAGCTCAATCAATTCACAATAGCTAAGACCTGGAACCAACCCAAATGCCCATCAAAAGTAGAATGGATAAAGAAATTATGGGACATATACTCTATAGAATACTATCCAGCAGTCAAAAACAACGAAACCCGGTCATTTGCAACAAGATGGAGGAGTCTGGAAAACATTATGCTGAGTGAACTAAGCCAGGCCCAAAGGGACAAATATTATATGGTCTCCCTGATTGGTGACAACTAACTGAACACCAAAGGGGAAACCTGTTGAAGTAAAATGGACACGATGAGAAACAGTGACTTGATCAGCTGTTGTCCTGTCTTTTGATGTACAATGTAATACTTTATCCATGTTAGTATTTTTCTGTTCTAGTACAATTGGTTGAACTCTGTAATTAACACACAATTATTCTTAGGTGTTTGAATTTCAACTGAATAGTGATCCCTGTTAGGAATTTCAAAAACATTATGCAGAGTGAAATAAGCCAGTCCCAAAGGGACAAATATCATATGTTCTCCCTGATCGGTGACAACTAACTGAGCACCAAAAAGGAAACCTTTTAAAGTGAAATGAACACTATGAGAAACGGTGACTTGATCAGCGCTTACCCTGACTGTTGATGAACAACTTAATACGTTATCCTTCTTAGTAATTTTTTGTTTGTTCTACTTAATACTTTTGGTTGAATACTGTAATCAATACACAGTTATTCTTTTTTTTTTGGTTTTTATTTTTTATTGCGTATTTGTCCACAACATCATGTCAGAAATGATCACAGCCACTCTGAATGAACGCAGGCTATGCACTGCTCCATTAATCATCCATGACACCGTCACACTGTACACCTCCTTACATTCACCGACTGACTGAAGACTGTTTCTTGAACACTGCCTCAGTGATCTACTTATGAAGGTGTCGACTGACTTTTCTTAAGATGCAGTAAGGTCATTAGTGAAAGCATATTCTTTAGAATATTATTCTAATCTAAATTAGAAGCAATGACAATTTTCTGAAAACAATACTCAGTAAAGACTTCTGGAGTGTTAAATCTAGTCTGAACTTACTTTAGTGGAGTAAAGTAAGTCCTCAGAGTGATAATTTGAGCAACTAATAAAATAGAAAACAATTTTCTTGATTGGACTAGACTGGGGCAGTAGATTCTATATAAAAGATCTTATCACACATACAAACATCATCTGTTTTCTTGAGAAAATATTAAAGATTATGAACTTGCCAAACTTACTAAGTTTTTTTTTGTTTGTTTTCTACAAAATGCCTTCAAATTTGTGTCCCCTTTCCCCTTCTCAGGATTACATTATTCGCATTTTGGGCAACAGAAAACCATTTAAACTGCCTAAAACACTAACCTTTGTTGTATCTTAAAAGTGCATCTGTGAAATGTTATTTTGATGAAAACCTCATAATTTAAAACATTTAAATTATGTAGGTTAGCATTTTCAATACTACCTAAGTATATCAATCAAATATAGAAAGTTAAATCAATGTTAAGAAATGAAGATTCACAGTTTACTTTCCAAAGCTTGTGATTAGTGCTTCATATTTATGCTTTTAACTTTGATTTGACTGCTTCATAGATGAATTTATATCTAAACATAATTCCACTATAGCATAATACTAATTAGGCAGTTTCCCCAAGCATGAGAACATCATATTCATCTAGTTGTAAAGTTTTAAGGCTTGAAATCTAAACTCATGAAAACATCATGGAATCCATAGCTCAGGGCTGTAGGGTTCAGAGTTTTCATTGTTGTTGCTGTAATAATCCTCCTTAAATCAACAACAACAAAAAAAAACCAACTTATCAGACATCTGTGAAATATTACTATTAAAAGTGAACTAACTGTTCAGGTTAAATTTCATAATCATAGATATGTTAAATGTTAATTTAATTTTGAATGGAAAAAGGTAAATCATTATTACTAGTTAAGAAATTTAAATGGCAAGAATATATATCCAGTGACCCCAAGTTTATCTTTTATGCATGTAACTACTTTCCCAGAATTCCAAATATTATAGTAACTACAGTGTTGAGACGCCCTTGCAGTTTCCAGACACCCAACATCAAGACTGATTGGCTGTATCTTCTTTTTCTTTAAATACACTATCAAAGTTCATACTGATTTTGCTTATAAGCTAACATTCTCAAATTAGTCCAAATATCCAAAAGTTTGGTCCTATTGTCCTACTCAGCTAGTGTATCTTTAAATGAGCCAGAGCTTAGGTCTTCAGAGAGCAAGATGATGTTCAATAAGAAAATATGATTTTAATGCTACTTTTAAAACTTGGGTTGTTGAGGACATACTTTTTTTATGCTGATTAATGAAATGCCTAACATACATATCAGAGGTTAGATAATTCCTTACCCTTAGGGTTCTGTATATACTAAATGTCTTCAAATATTAGCTGAACAAATCAGTGTAGAAACTTCCCCTTTGCTATTGCAACTCCATTTTGTTTACTTTGAAAAGAAATGATATTTTAATTCTTCCATTGTAAAAGAAAATTATAGCACTGATAATTTCCTTTATGGAGAATAACAATGATCCAAATTCATGAATTAAGGAACCATTTCAGGAATTGTTGGAAGGTGAGCTATTCTGTAGTAACTATGCTTCAATTGCCGAGCAGTACGCCCAGACACAATCCATTTCAACTTCTGAACATTCGGTTTTGAACACTTGTTTGATGAATACTCAGTTAAACACTTTGATACAAGCTCTTGCCAGAAGGTCAAATCTCTGCCATTTATCTTGGAATGTTTCTGAAGACATTCTATTCCTTCTGTTAACTCCACACACTGCTGTGCTTGGATCTCCAAGGCAATGATAGAGAAAGCCAACACAGAAGGCTTTGCTTTAGAAAATATGATCCTGCAGTGACATGCCTTAAGTTGAGCTTCCAGTCTTTCAAAATTAAGGTTATTTCTCCTTTCAAATGGCAAGTTCTCTTGAATGAGTGAATAATAGAGTTGCAGAAACTGAAAGGCAGTAGTAGCTTTGACTTTCCAACACACCTTCTCCAATACAATCTTTTCCATTCTCATCAAGTCTGAAACCGTGAACATATACTGACTTATCCGGATCAAGTCAGTTGCCAGTGGCACATTCCTTTCCTCTTCTATTGATTTTACAGCCAAATAAAAACAGCTCAGACCAACAGATCCAAGGTTCTTGGGCTGTACCTTCATTTTAGACAGAAATCTGTCCAGTAAATTCACAGCTAGAGAAAATGTCTCCGTGTCAAAGCCAAAAAATTGAGTGAGACTAAGAAGATCTTTCACTTCGAAGTCCCTCAGCCGTGCAGTCATTCTGAGGCCATTATCGTGTGCAGACTCAATTAGTCTAAAGCCGCAGACCTTTGGCTGACATCTAGACTCCTGTTCCAACAAAGTGTTCAGCTGGTGTAGCAGTTTCTGAGAGTCAGTTGTTGTCAGTACTTCTATCATCTTGATAGCGGCTGCAGCTCCTCAGTGGTAACCTCCCTCCCCGGGCCTGCTCTCACCTCACCCCCACGATATCAGATTCCAGCGGTCTACGAGATGAGGGGTCTCGCGGTCAAGAGGGGAGAGGCCCGGGGAGGGGGAGCCGTCCTGGGTGGAGGTCTTGGCAGCGCCGCCCAGATGACACTGCCCTCCGGAGGGTCAGCTCGGAGCCGAAGGGCAATACACAGTTATTCTTAAGTGTTGAAAATTAACTGAAAAGTGATTGCTGTTAAATATAAGAGTGGGAATAAGAGAGGGAAGAGATGTGCAATTCAGGACATGCTCAAGCTGAATTGCCCCAAACGGTAGAGTTAGAAACATACCAGGTTATTCCAATTCAATCCCATCAAGGTGGCATGTACCAATGCCATCTCACTAGTCCCAGTGATCAACTTCAGTTCACAATTGATCATAATGATAGGACTAAGAGCCCAAGGGATCACAGAAACAAGACTAGTGTCTGCAAATACTAGCTGATAGAATCAAAAAGGGAGAGAACAATCCAACATGGGAGCGAGACACACAGTGTGTACAGTGATGTACAGTGTGATTTAATGCTATAACTACTACTCAAACAGTATTTTTCACTTTGTGTTTCTGTGTGGGTGCAAACTGTTGAAACCTTTACTTAATATATGCTAAACTGACCTTCTGTATATAAAGAGAATTGAAAATGAATCTTAATGTGAATGGAAGGGGAGAGGGAGCAGGAAAGGGGAGGATTGTGCGTGGGAGGGAAGTCATTGAGGAAGAAGTCATTGTACTCCATAAGCTGAACTTTGGATTTTATATATATTTAATAAAAGTTAAAAAAAGACTAATGTCTGCTAATACTAACTGATAGAATAAAAAAGGGAGAGAATGATGCAATATGGGAAGCGGGATACACAACAGACTCATAGAATGGCAGCTGTCCTAAACAGCACTCTGGCCTCAGAATCAGCCCTTAAGGCATTTGGATCTGGCTGAAGAGCCCATGAGAGTTTTTTAGGCATGGAAAGTTAAGACACTCTAGCAAAAAAAAAAAAAAAAAAGGACCTAAATGAAAGATCTCCTCTAGTGAGATCCTAGTAGAAAGAACAGGCCATCAAAGAAGAGGTACCTTTCTCTTAAGGTAGGAGTGAACTTCCACTTTGACTATGACCTTGTCTAAATAAGATCGGAGTTGAAGAACTCAAAACACTTCCATAGCCTTGGAAGCTCATGACAAGAGCCTAAGGAGATTACTGACGCCATAAACAAGAGTGTCAATTTGTTAAGTCAACAACAGGAGTCACTGTGCGCTTACTCCCCATGTAGGATCTCTGTCCTTAATGTGCTGTACATTGTGGTTTAATGCTATAACTAGTACTCAAACAGTAGTTTTCACTTTGTGTTTCTATGTGGCTGCAAACTGTTGAAATCTTTACTTAATATATGCAAAATTGATCTCCTATATAAAGAGAATTGAAAATGAATCTTGATGTGAATGGAATGGAGGGAGCGGGAGATGGGAGAGTTGCATGTGGGAGGGAAGTTATGGGGGGGGAAGCCATTGTAATCCATAAGCTGTACTTCTTTACTAAATAAAAGTTTAAACAAACAAAAAAACAAAAACCAAAAAAAAGTGGAACAGCCAGGTCTCAAACCGGCACCCATTTGAGATGCCAGCACTTCAGGCCAGGGCATTAACCCACTGTGCCACAGTGCTGGCCCCAACTTTTTACTAGTTCAGTGTATATAACTATGTTGGTTCTGAACCACCTCTACTATATCATCGATAAGACCAATAAATACAAATTCAGACTTTATGTTTTACAAAAATTTAGGAGATTCTATGTTCCAATTTGAATAACATGATAAACATGTTACTGTTATAGCAGCACAGAGACTAGAAACAAATTTGATATCAGGCTTGATATTTCTAATGCTTTATAATCATAATTTTATGTTGTCAAATATTTATTTCACAATTTTAATAAAATACACTCATAAATCTGCTGTATCACAATATAATGCAAACAAAAATAAACAACTTACTGGTGGTGTGTTCATTTTCTTTGGCCTGGGAAGACCACCTATTCTTAGGTGTTTAAATTTTAACTGAAAAGTGATCCCTGTTAGGAATTTGGAAAACATTATGTTGAGTGAAATAAGCCAATCCCAAAGGGACAAATACCACTTGTTCTCCTCGATAGGTGACAACTAACTGAGCACCAAAAAGAAAACCTGTTAAAGTGAAATGAACACTATGAAAAATGGTGACTTGATCAGCCCTCACCCTGACTGTTGATGAGCAGCTTAATATGTTATCCCTCTTAGTATTTTTTTTGTTTATTCTACTTAATACTTTTGGTTGAATACTGTAATCAATACACAATTCTTCTTAAGTGCTGAAACTTAACTGAAAAGTGATCACTGTTAAATATAAGAGTGGGAATAAGAGAGGGAAGAGATGTGCAATTCGGGACATGCTCAAGCTGACTTACCTCAAACGGTAGAGTTAGAAACATACCAGGGGATTTGAATTCAATCCCATCGAGGTGGCATGTACCAATGCCATCTCACTAGTCCCAGTGATCAATTTCTGTTTACAATTGATCATAATGATAGGACTAAGAACCAAAGGCATCACAGAAACAAGACTAGTGTCTGCAAATACTAGCTGATAGAATCAAAAAGGGAGAGAATGATCAACATGGGAAGTGAGATACACAGCAGACCCATAGAATGGCAGATGTCCTAAACAGCACTCTGGCCTCAGAATCAGCCCTTAAGGCATGCGGATCCGGCTGAAATGCCCATGAGAGTATTTCAGGCATGGAAAGCCAAGACACTCTGTGGGAAAAAAAAAACTAAATGAAAGATCTCTGCGAGTGAGATCCCAGTGGAAAGAACAGGTCATCAAAGCAGGAGGTACCTTTCTCAGAAGGGAGGAGAGAACTTCCACTTTGACCATGGCCTTGTCTAAATAGGATCAGAGTCAGTGAACTCAGGGGGCTTCCATAACATTGGCAGCTCATGACAAGAGCCTAGGGTGATTACTGAGGCCATAAACAAGAGTGTCAATTTGTTAAGTCAACAACAGGAGTCACTGTGCACTTACTCCTCATGTAGGATCTTTGTCCTTAGTGTGCTGTACATTGAGATTTAATACTATAACTAGTACTCAAACATTATTTTTCACTTTATGTTTCTGTGTGGGAGCAAACTGTTGAAATCTTTACTTAATGTATGCTAAACTGATCTTCTGTATATAAAGAGAATTGAAAATGAATCTTGATGTGAATGGAAGGGGAGAGGGAGTGGACAAGCGGAGGGTTGCGGGTGGGAGGGACGTTATGGGGGGAAGCCATTGTAATCCATAAGCTGTACTTTGGAAATTTATATTCATTAAATAAAAGTTAAAAAAAAGAAAGAGATAAATATAACATTGTGTTAATCATGTGTTTTTTTATTTAATAAATGTGAATTTACAAAGTGCAACTTTTGTATTGTTTTGGCTTCCCCCCCATCCTCCCTCCCTCCTGTGACCCTTCCCTCTCCCACTCGCTCTCCCATCCTGCTCTTCATCGAGTTTCATTTTCAATTACCTTCATATACAGAAATCAACTTAGTATATACTAAGCAAGGATTTCAACAGGCTGCCTTTACACAACCGCACAAGGTATAGGGTATTGTTCAACTAGTAATGTTGTCTTTAAGTTTCATAGTAAAGCACATTAAGGACAGAGATCCTACATGGGGAGTATGTACCCAGTGACTCCCGTTGTTGATTTAACAATTGGCACTCTTATTTATGATGTCAGCAATCACCCAAAGCTCTTGTCATGAGCTGTCTAGGCTATGGGAGCCCCTAGAGTTCACCAACTCTGAACTTGTTTAGTCAATGCCGTATCACAGTGGAGGGTTATAAAGTCAATTGAAAATAAATCTCATTAAGCATAATGTTTGGAATAACACAGGAAGGAGGAATTTTGTAACTGTGAAGCTCTATTGTCCTGCATACTTTCCTACAGATTACATCTAAAGGTACAGTTTAAAATCTTGGTATGGGACCTCAAATCCCATCAAACTGGATAGTAAAAATTTTTAAAGTGAACATATTAAGTGGTAAATTGATAATATAGATAGGATTACATGTTAAATGGATCATATAAATAATATGAAATGTCTGGTCAAAATAAACAGAATTAAAAAGGAGAGAATATTCCAACATGGGAAGCAGTACACAGAGAAGAAACATAGAATGAGAATCACATTAAAAAACACTCTGTCCTCAGAATCAGCCCATAAGGCATTCTGGTCAGGTTAAAGTTGCATGAGAGCAACTCAAGCATCAAAAGCCAAGACAATGTGGTAAAAAAATGTTCTACATAAAGGATCTTTGTGAGAGAGACCCCAGTGGAAATAAGTGGCCATAAAAGAAGGATGTACTTTTGTCTGACAGGTGGAGAGTACTTCAACTTTGCTTGTGGACTTGTCTAGATACTGACACAGATTTTGGATACAAAGGCTACTATAGCCTTTGTAGCTTCTATAACCTAGGCAGCTCATGACAAGAGTTTCGGGTGATCACTGATATCATACATAAGAGTGTTATTTGTTAAATTAACAACAGGAGTCACTGTGCACATACTCTTCATAAAGGACTTCTGTCCGCAATGAATTGTATTATGAGAATTAACTGTAAAACTGGTTCTCGGTTTGTGTGTGTGTTTGTCAGTGTGTGTTTGTTCATGTGTGTAAATTGTTGAAATCTACTTTGTAAAAGTTGGTCTTCTATGTATAAAGTTAAATAAAAATGTATCTTAAAGGATAATGGAACTTGGAATGAGCAAGGGAAGAGGAGTGGGGTGAGAGTGGAGGAGGGAGGGCAGCATAGTGAGAAGAATCACTATATTCCTAAAGTTGTACTGATGAGATTGGTACTCATTAAATAAAATGTTTCTTTGAGATATAAAAAGAAACAAGAGGAATGATTTGTATGTTTCCCGAGTAATCGCTTGACTCACAAGACAAAATGCATGATGCAAAAGAATTCATCTTCAACCACACACTAATGAAGTGGAACTCTAGTGGTTAAATTTTAGGGTTTCAAACTCATATTTGAAAGGCATGTGTTAAAAATAGATGAATTCTTATTTCAGCTCAATTCTCAATAGCTAGAACCTGGAATCAACCCAAATGCCC